TAACAATTTTGAATTAATGAGACTTTGGTAAACATAACAAATCATAAAGAGTTTGGGTATGTCTTTCTCCCTAAACGTCCAGATATTATATTTAGAAAACCACATGTTTCTCTTGGTAACAAATCATTCCTTTTCCGATCGGGGAAACAATTGCCGTGAACTAGGACGTCATGATGGAAGATGACGTCACAAAGCATTGTTACTTGACACTATAGCTAGAAGACGACGTCACAACGCATTGTTACTTGACACTATAGCTAGAAGACAACGTCACAAAGCACTGTTACTTGACACTATAGCTAGAAGACGACGTCACAAAGCATTGTTACTGGACACTATAGCTAGAATACGACGTCACAAAGCACTATTACTTGACACTATAGCTAGAAGACGACGCCACAAAGAATTGTTACTGGACACTATAGCTAGAAGACGACGTCACAAAGCACCGTTACTTGACACTATAGATAGAAGACGACGTCACAAAGAATTGTTACTGGACCCTATAGCTAGAAGACGACGTCACAAAGAATTGTTACTGGACACTCTAGCTAGAAGACGACGTCACAAAGCATTGTTACTGGACCCTATAGCTAGAAGACGACGTCACAAAGCACCGTTACTTGACACTATAGATAGAAGACGACGTCACAAAGAATTGTTACTGGACACTCTAGCTAGAAGACGACGTCACAAAGCATTGTTACTGGACACTATAGCTAGAATACGACGTCACAAAGCACTGTTACTTGACACTATAGCTAAAAGACGACGTCACAAAGCATTGTTACTTGACACTTTAGCTAGAAGACGACGTCACAAAGCACTGTAACTTGACATTATAGCTAGAAGACGACGTCACAAAGCACTATTACTTGACACTATAGCTAGAAGACGACGCCACAAAGAATTGTTACTGGACACTATAGCTGGAAGACGACGTCACAAAGCACTGTTACTTGACACTATAGCTAGAAGATTTGCCAATGAAAGTGAGTCCAGGGTTTTACCCACAAGTGGGTAGCGGGTTAGATCACAGGGTATATCGATTATGCCATACTTAGGCTTGATGGTCTTGGAGAGACATTGTATTACATATCAAATATTGTAATAGTGAAAAGTGTCGTGTCTTTAAAACTAACAGATAACATCAGCGTAATTAAATTGTCATATTCGTTTGAATGGATACACCCTTTTTGTATCTACCTAACTGTTGATACCCCCTCCCCCGATGATTTAGATTTGTTTGTATTACTTGAGGAAACTGTAAGTAAGTATAAAGGATATGATGATGTGTTCAAGCAATAGGTGACTTTAACAGCCGTACTGGTTTATGTGAGGATTATATCACCTTGATAAAATGAGTGATATTTCAACACATGTATTATTCAATATATCTGAATACCTTTCGGATTCCAAATGAATGGGCCTACATGTCAACCAATTCGGAAAGATACGTTAAATTTGTCTCTGTGTAAAACAATTTTTCAAAAATTTGAATGGTAGACCTGCTGGTTATAGTGATGGTCATCATACGTATGTCAGTCTTATTGATAATGTTTTAGTCTCTGATACTAGGTTGAAGACGATAGTAGTTCGAGTCTGATGTTATAATAATATTTCTAATCACTCTCTATTATCAATTTCGTTACCTTCGCTGTTTTCCTCTGTTAATGAACCTGTTGATGTAGAACCCAAATCGTACAGAACAACAACCTTTAAATGGAATGAGAACGAAAATCGAAGATAGAAATATTGTTAGCAATTTAATTAAAATTAGATCTTCGCATCGCTCCTATTTACCAAGAGGTGGCTTGGAATCTGAAAAACAAACCAAAAAAGATGTCCGCAGAAATGTGTTCGTCCATTATTTTTATAGAATCGTATCTTGCTTCATCAACGACACTCGCAATGAAAACCTAGATCAAATCCAAGTCATGTCATAACACCGGGAACTGGGCTATTGACAACAAAACGACAAGGCACACTCATGAACATCATAAACAAACATTGACTTTCATATCACACAAAGACAGCATGTTTCTCTATGAAATCATAATCGTGACTATAAACCTTGTCCATAGTTATCACCAACCTCCGCGCGACCTATCAGTAAACGGCAGCTATGCGAAGATCTGATTTTGATTAGATTGCATTGTTAGCTAATTCACCTGAGTTACTAGACCTATGTTACGATTCGGATCTTAGCCAATCGGGTATCAATAACGTAAATAAATTTTCAGAATATGTTTAACATTTAGTATCACCTTATTGTTATAAAGCTGTAGCAGAACATTCGGAATGATTTTTATCAGTTTGTTTTGTATGAGTATTAAATGCTAAGTTTATTTTGTACACAAACAGTAAATGGACACTTATATTGCGAGCTTTCGAAGTTGTCTGTTTCCTTTGTCAAGCAAAGAGTTTAATCACCGATGTCTCGAATCTAAACCGCTAAACACAACTCACTAAGCCATAATGTGTCGAATCAGTAAATTCAGCTGTCAGAAATTATAAAAACACAAAATAAAGGAAGTGAGTGACATTGACTGCCTGTAGTATTATAGTGCTTTTTGACGAAATAAACATCGGTCCAATGAGCAATGTTAGCAAAGGTTCAGAGAATATAATATTGCTCTCACTACTCTTAATTCATGAAGAATTTCAGAAAAAGGAAAAAGTCCACAGACTCCTAAGATTGTATCTTTAGAAGAATCACAAAAACCTTTTTGTACTCTTGCATCTTCTAATCGAAACACTGATGAAATTGCTAATGACTATATGAACAATAATAACATACCCATTCACACTCCAGTGTTGAATGAACTGGATGCTAATATTACAGGGTGTGAAATTAAGAGTTCTATTCGTGGCGTTGACTCCAATAAGGTGTGTGGAATCGATAATATGCTGAATGAATATATGTTCTGGCGTTTTGTACCTTGTCTTGTTGTACATTTAACAATATATTTAGATAAGGTTTTTACCTTATACGTGCGCATTTGGCAATAAGTACAAAAAAGGTGATCTAAGTAACCCTCACAGCTACAAAGGTATTTCTTTTGTCAGTTGTATTGGTGAACGTTTTACGCCTGTATTTAACAAGGCATCACAAGTGATACAAATCCCCTCGCATTCACACATTGTGATATATGTAAGAGGAAATGAAGTCGCTAGGGCGATAGCAAAGTTGTTTTCCCTAAAAGTAGTGACAGTGACCTTGACCAAACACTTGTATGAAGTTTCATGAAATTCCGTTAAGTAGTTTAGTCGGTAGAGCGATGACAAAGTTTTTATAAAAATAGTAACAGTGACCTTAAACTTTAACGCAGTAACCCGAAACACTTATACGTACAAACTTACGTACGGGCGGAATCCTATATCCCCTCGAACTTTCGTTTCAAGGGGATAATAATAGGTTTGTACAATTAGATGACCGATGCTCAGTTTGGATTCAAACGACAGTTATCCACGACAAATGCTATTTATACATTGAAAGCTATAATGAATCGCAGGCTAAAGAGTAAAAACGTATATAGTGCTGTTTCATTGACCACAACAAAGCGCCTGACCTGATCAATAGAATGCTATCAGATCACGCTATACAAAATCAAGATGTTGTGTTAAAAGCAAAGACTTTGGCATATGTTCTGGACTTTTAACTGTAAGATTTGCATTTTTAAGGAGAAACTTTGTCGTCTCTGTTATTTTTATTACATGTGAACGATTTCAAAATGCAACTTATAGATGACAACTTTCCGTCAATTGACCAACAGCTGATTTACATGTACCTGTATGATGACGATCCGGTCGCCTTCGCTTAAATACATGTAGGCTTGAAAGCGATGTAAGACTCTTTGTTAAATTACACTACAAAGTAGGGCCTTACTGGTAACACTTTAAAGACTCAGATTGTTGTTTTAGGAACACTAAAGACACACTAAAAGATAATGAAAATGGCCGTCTGATGGGTATGTTTTAGAGTTAGTGAACGAATCCAACTAACGTCGAGTTTTATTGAATTATAATGGGAAATACATTATAATGGGAAATAAAAACAGAAAAGAAGCAAGGAAGAAAAGCCTCGTTTGCCATATTGGGTGTATGCAAGAAACATTATTGAATATTGGGACATTATTAGCAGTGTTTGACACATGTATCAGTAGTATAGTCAACTATGGATCAGAAGTATGAGGATTCCATAAAGGCACTGACATCGGCAAAACGCATGTGGGATTTGGTAAATAGTTGGTAGTTGTGCGGTAATCTACACCGAATTTGATGGTACAATGTATATTTAGAATTAGGCGTAATCCATTGTATGCAAAAAGGAAACATTTTTTTAACGATATTGGTTTTAATGGCTTAATACTAAAAACTGTATTTTGAAATCCTGTTATAAAACTTTGATGCTTTTTGGTATGTGAAATAAAAGATGAGTTGTATTGTTTAGTTTAAGGATATATTTCGGAAGCTCAGAACGGGTACGATATCACTTTTTCAATTATCAAGGTACGATTATTTGACATTTTTAATCAGGAGAGAAACAGTGCAATTACAGGTATGTCTTACAGTCAGTTAACACCGGTTTTCCTAATGAAACTGCTTCGACTGTCAGCTCACAAGTTAAACATCGAATTAAAGCAATTTGATGATGTTGATAAAACTGATAGATTATGTACAAGGTGTCACCTCATTTTTCATATTGAAGATTTTTATTTGAAATATTATTAAAGAAATAATACACAGAAAATTAATGAGCACCAATCAGATATATGATATTTTGTTTGTGTGCGATGTTCATTCTTCTGTGTCCAATGTGTCGTTTGTGCATATGGAAATATCCTAATAACACGCACACGGCTGCTACTACTACTACTACTACAAATACTACTACTACTTCAAACAGAAATGTTGAAAACCGTGATTCCATTGTATATGTCAGTGAGTCTGTGCGAATCGTGTTCGCCATGTATTCTAATCAATGCTCTGTTTTTCAGATGTCGTTCCGGGATCACCGCAACATCAACATGGAGTCCAAGTCGAAGGAGGTCAATCACCTTGACAACATGAGCAAAGGAATGAACAAGGCCCGGGAGTATCTCATACTTTTCCTCACCTACATCCTGTACAAAATCACGCGCTCTATCGTCATCACCTTCCAAAAGTTCACGTGGGCAGTAACCGGTGTCGAGAGGACCCGAAAGGACGCACAACGTGGATTACAATTTAAACTAAGTGCGCATGTCCAGAATGTATTTTGGCGACGGAAGTTGTTTGCTATGACAATGGCAGACCCATCCGACTTTATTACTACTCATAAATGTTTTAAACATCCCAATTATGTGCTCAAACCCCATATATCGCTGTATTGTATAACAAAGAAGGAGGCCATATTTGTTGAAGTGAAAGAAGGGACGGATATTTACGGTTCATCAGAAAGCACTTCATCATTATTTCAAGAACAGTTTGAGCATGCACACTGTCTTATATCCATCCCCCTAGCTTCTTTTCACAAAATAGCATCAGACCTTGGCACTCCAAAAGTACCAATTATATGGATTTCAAGCACCGGACGTTGTGGGTCGACTCTACTGACACGTGTTTTTGCGCAACTTCCGGGTATGATGGTATTGTCCGAACCTGACGTCATCACTAGTCTAGCTTACTTAAAAAAGACGAAGAAAATCAACAAAGGGGAATACGAACAGTTACTGCCTAGTTCAATACGTTTACTTTGTAAACCGGACGACAGAGCTGGCATGATTTGCGTCAAAACGAGACCGGGTTGTACCGGACAGATGGAGGATGTGTACAAGAACTTCCCGCAGATATATCAAATGTATGTATACCGAAATAGCCTCAAAACCGTGACGTCATCGCTTAGTCTGTTTTCAGAGGAACCGTTTGCCATGATGGCCCGTTACATCATTGACAACAAAGTGTTATCCGCTATCATGCCATGTTTCAGAGGTTTCTTCTATTTCAACTTCTGCTATGTGCTAGATCATGACCCTCCTGCCTTTCCCCCGAAGAGTCTTAGCAGTGTCGGCATATTCACAACGGCATGGGCTGCTAGTATCTCGCGCTGCGTGGAAGCTATCGAGGCGCGCGTGCCTGTCATCGCTCTACTTTATGAAGACATGATGAAAAACCCTCGAAAAACTTGCTCAATTCTGTTTGATTTTTTAGACATTCGGAGGGAGTATATAGCGTCTGCTATGGAGGGCTTCAAAGTAGACTCGAATAAGGGTTCACTTAGCCAAAGCCTGGTTATCAGTGATTCCCGACGGACAATCCCACAGGGGTTCCGAGTGGAAGCTGACTCGATCCTTCGAAAGCACAACCTACCAAGACTCGGTGAGAGATACGAATTGCCGGGCCTTATCGATTTTGAAGCCTCAAAACTCCCTAGAATGAACTCCAGTAACAAATTCTTTTAACCTGTGAAGCTTTTAAGCTTGAAAATGTGTAACGTTCTCTAAAGGAAATGTTTCGTCCAATAACACAGTTATTTACTTCAGTAGACCTTCATGCTATACATACTTTATTTGTTCCCGCTTCACACAAAACGCAAGAACTGGTATTGCTTGTAATTTCCCATTCATGCACCCAAGTGTCAACTTAATAGTATGGGCCGCAGGATTCTCATATATACATATATATCATGTTGGTACAGTCTTGAAGATGGTCTTCAAAATAATAATTAAAAAAAAATAGAAGATAAATATTTTCTGTTATCCTAGCAAATGCTACAGACGATAATGGTGAGTCATTCCTGACATAGATATATTGAATAGATGAATAGACCTAAGTAACGGGACACGACACATGAATATGGAAAGTAAAACCCCTCTTTATCTCGAGTATCCCCAAGCACCATCTACTGGATATCCTCTTATCCTCGCAAAAACCGTGGAATCCTCTGGTCCTACCACTAAAGCTAATACCAAAGCATCGAACCCAAGCATCCTTAGCCTATTCTAGGTTATTCTAGGTTACCGGCGTCCTTAAAAGACCTTAACTGTTAATGACATTTAACTGGACGTTAAACCCTGTGGAATCAAACCCATGCTACCGCCAGAACGTTAAACCGGAAGAGCCCACCGAGCATAGCTTGGCCCTACCGCCAGGCCAAATCATCTGTATCAAGCCAACATATTTCAATATAATGTCAAATAATGTATTGTCAGTATGAAATAACTGGTTACAAGAAAGACAATTTGGATATATTTTGACGAAATCAAATGACGGCTACCTTTATAAAATATATACCTCAGACAGCGATTGGTTTGGTTTGCTTGTGTTTTACGACCTATTAACAGGTTTGGCCATTTAAGGAGATCCCGGAGAAAAAACACCGACTTACGGTAAGTACCTGACGACTGCCCCACGTAGGTATCGAACCCACGTACCAGTCGTGACGGGTTAGAACGATTTAACAGATGATATTTCAAAACTATCGCATCTTTTGTACTATGAAATAAGGTAAAAGGGATGTAACTCCGCTGTAACTACACATGTATGAACCCCCTGTTTGCTTCAGCAGTAATTCAAACCAATTTGGATTTCTACCTGTGTGGCACTTAGCCTCAACAATGGGTCCTAGAAAGACGAAACAGCTGAATGTTGCTGTGTTATTCAGTTTTGAAATTCTGTATCGATTACCTAATTGTATAGGTGCAGTCATCTGTTCCCTACGTTCAGTTCACATTATATAGTACTGAACTTTAAAGTTACGCTAAATGTTTTGTCGAAAAGTAAAAGTCTTCACTGTTTACTATCTCATGTAAACTTCATATTGAAATGTCATATTGAGTACTGGGCCGACGAGTTGTTCATAAGAGGACTAGCTTAAAACCTGTTTAACGACATTTTCAACCTTTAATAATTTGTGCGACATCCAAGTTAAAAACTCTTTATCTTGCATGTAATACTAATAACTATCTGGAAAATGTTTGACTCGATTAATGGTTTTGTCACTGATTAAGCTAATCCCCTTTAAAACGACTGGACTCTGGTATTTTCTAGAGTTAAATGTATTTAATGAAACCTAACATTTGATGTCAACATAGGTATTTGACTGTTGGTTTGCTAATTGTTATGAGATAAAATAAAAAATATACAACATTTGATATAGCGCCCTATCTAGCTAACAGCAGCCACTCTAAAGCGCTTTACAGTACATAGAAATACAATTTTTATACGGTCAATACAATAAGCATATATATATTAATCAATACAACATTGAGGAATTCGCAGGGGCTGCCTTATAAGGCGCTAACTTCTAGTCCTATGCCACCTGGCTAATATCTCCCTATGTGTGTATGCCTGTGTGTGTGCTGGAGATGTATTGTGTTCTGTTTGTAGTATGACCGTGCTTCCAACGGTATCATTTATAGTGACACCTCACTTGAATGCTACAGCACAGATCATTTTATACTCCACCTGGGTTGTTGGGGTTGTGTGGGCAGGAGAAAAACACTTTCTCTAATATCCCATGCGTACGGCGACTTCGGGGATCGAACCCCGGCCGCCTGCTTGGAAGGCCGGAGTGTTAACCACTCGACCAATCCGCCCATGCTTAAAGATCAATTCTAGTTCAATGCCGTTTCGAATTTTACGTGATCATCCCATTTTAATTCAATCATCAGAGAATATAAAGTTGTTGTTTTTTTAAAGTGTTTCAACTTGTGATAATCTGGTGGAAAAAACATAATTCCTGCTTTAATATGAATTTCAAACAGCATCAATAAACAATGATAAATACACCATAGAGTCAACAAAGACTAAACCTGAACTCAATGTCAAACGTTTCAAAATGAAAGTACAACATCAACAACACAGTAAACATGAAGGACCGACACATAGTAACGGGTACCAGAAGATTAGCTGATGACGAGTGTCTGCCGCTCCTCATGTGAAACCAGTGTTTTGTCTCCGGTCAAATCTGATCTTAGACACAGTCCTTGATCATGCAAGATCTTCCAGTCTAGTAGATGAAGTTGAAAATCAAAGCCTGTTAACGACCCTTAATATACAAGAACATGGGTAGAAAACACTTGCGCAATTCAGCACATCTATCAAACGTCCTGATGCAATGTACTTTGAGCACTGGAGTAGCGAATCTATTGTTATATGTAAACTCCTGATTATAAGACGGGTTCTGTGAAAGCGAATCAACTATGGCATGTGAACTCCGGATTCTTATAACTAGTTCTTAAATAGTGAATCACTTGTGATATATATACTTATACTGTATAATTGAAAATATTCGCGGTAACCAAAGATAGCACGAAATCAAATACCCAGCGAATATTACAGCTCTGAAACATAATATCCGTTAAAGATAATGTTATGCACAGACAAAAAATCCTGTTTATTCCTTTACTGCTTAACATTGAAAATGAAAGAGAAATTCCAATTCGTATTGAAAATTAATAAAATAACACTTTGATATTAAAAAAAAAGAAAAGAAAAGTAAAATAAATGCCACCATTCGAATACAACAATAACAAAAGCACAACCTTTTTGCTTTGTACCATGTTTGGCGTAATTTAATCCCAGCGTTCTTATTCTGATGGGAACAGCCTCGAAATATTAGCCTTACAAAATCTAACAACTATCGAACACTTGGAGCAGGATCTGGCATAGTGAACAAGTTATGATATATAAATAATTGGTAAGCTCAGGAATAATGATATCAACTGTCATATATATGAACGTCTGATAGTGTACAGTAGTTTAATTTCGCGAGGCTAATATTTCAATGTTGTTCCGATCAGAACTAGTTCGCGGGAGTTTAAATTGGGCAAACATATGCGTGTTTCTTTTGTGTCTGTAAATAAATATTCAGGGAAACTTGTTATAGATATTTGCAGAGTATTTAATTTTGTGATATAATTGACGCCTGTGAATAGCGTGAAAAGCAATCCACCGCGTATATAGTGAAAATAAATTCCCCGCAAATATTACTTACTATACAGTAAACAAACTTAGAAACTCTGAAGAAGCGAATCAGCTGTGACATGAAAACTCATTATACTCATTAAAAATCAACTTGATAAGTAAAATGATTGTGACATATAAACTCCTGGTACTTTGAACAGGCTCTGGAATAGCTACCTAAGTTTTACAAATATATTTTCGATACTTAAACAGGCTCTGGAATAGCTACCTAAGTTTTACAAATATATTTTCAATACTTAAACAGGCTCTGGAATAGCTACCTAAGTTTTACAAATACAGTTTCAATACTTAAACAGGCTCTGGAATAGTAAAACAGTCAGGCCGACTCTGAAGAATCCTATAAATTTCTACCTAGAACGCTTGAGTTGGGAATCAACGAAACACATGCTTTGTTAATAATACTTAGAACACATGAACTTTTAATCAACTGCAACATGTCAGCTCTTAATGCTTAAGATATGTACAATCCTAATACTAAGAACACAGAAGTATTGAATAAATATTGAATAAAGACTCAGCAGAAGCGAATATATTGTGACAAATAATCACAGGCTCTGAAGATTCGAATCAACGAACGCCAGTAAAGTCCTGTAACTTTGAACACAGCATTAAAGAATCAAGTTCAATATAAACACTTCCGATTCTAACAACAGTCTCTGCAGCAGCGAATCACCCATCGCGACATGTTACGTCTATAGCAAGGAAGATGATGTGTTACTACGAGGAAAAGAAAGCTAAAAGGTGGAATTCAAAGTACAGTTGTGGGATCGCACAATGTTTCACGATGTGTAGTGTGCGTGCGTTGTGCGAATGATGAAAATCAGGACGATTATTGCTTGCCAACATTTGTGCGGACTATGGACGAACGTTGTGTGTTGACAATCGTATTTGGTGTAAATTGAGTACTGCTTAACAATACACACGGCGTTGTGTAAAAACATAGACTTGATTTTGAAGCATATTTCTATATTATAGCTACATATATAAGCTGCTCTTTCCAATTTTCTTTAATGTATAAATTGTGTTTTCGGACATTTTTAAACGGCCCAATTCGACGCATGTAAAATAACACATGTAGACACGGTCACGTATCCAGGTAAACATAGCCACTTTGTATCGCGAAAAATGTAAGAAAATGTGTCAAATCTCTAGAATAAAGGCATATATTTCCACTGAATAATCCACAACTGAGCACAAACCAACAAGGCTGAAGTTGGAAAAAAGCACACAAAGCAAGTGAGATTTTACCTGTACTGCAGGTTCTCACTCAGGTAATCTGGCTTGACTTATATAAATAGCCTTGTTAGCTTTATGAATTATTGTAAAATATCCAATAATAAAAGATGCCATCATTCTTGAGATTTGAAGCATTTTCTGTCATTTTTCTCGATAATGATAAATACATAAATTATAATATTCAATACAATATTGCGCCACTCAAATTCTGCATTCAAAAGTTACTTTTCAGACAAAATCATCAATATGTTCGACAAATAATGTCTGCCAAAGTCATTATTGACATTATTCTTGACATGGGTATACCAAGCAACTTCCATATTATTTTCATTTTAAGGGAAAGTTATGATCCCATCACATACTTTATACACAATCGTGAGCCTGTACGAAATACATTAACACAGACATGCTTAATATCTGGAAGGATAAATGTTACGCAATAAAAATTTTGTTCTGTGGTAGAAATTGAGGTGTAATAACACGATTCAATTTTGACTATAAAAAAGCCAGACGTCTTCTACAA